GTAACAACAAAAAGTAATCTAATTACGTAATGCTTGTTACTTGTAATACATTACTTTACGTGTTAGATCAAAAAGTATTCTGAGTACGTAATGCATGTTACTTGTAATGCGTTTCTTTACTCGTAACATCAAAAAGTAATCCGAGTACGTAATGCTTGTTACTTGTAATACATTACTTTACGTGTTAGATCAAAAAGTAATCTGAGTACGTAATGCATGTTACTTGTAATGCGTTTCTTTACTCGTAACAACAAAAAGTAATCCGAGTACGTAATGCATGTTACTTGTAATGCGTTTCTTTACTCATAACATCAAAAAATAATCTGAGTACGTAATGCTTGTTACTTGTAATACATTACATGTTAGATCAACAAGTAATCTGATTTCGTAATGCACGTTATTGTAATGTGTTTCTTTACTTGTAACATCAAAAAGTAATCTGAATACGTAATGCTTGTTACTAGTAATGCGTTTCTTTACTCGTAACAACAAAAAGTAATCTAATTACGTAATGCTTGTTACTTGTAATACATTACTTTACGTGTTAGATCAAAAAGTAATCGGAGTACGTAATGCATGTTACTTGTAATGCGTTTCTTTACTCGTAACATCAAAAAGTAATCCGAGTACGTAATGCTTGTTACTTGTAATACATTACTTTACGTGTTAGATCAAAAAGTAATCTGAGTACGTAATGCATGTTACTTGTAATGCGTTTCTTTACTCGTAACAACAAAAAGTAATCTAATTACGTAATGCTTGTTACTTGTAATACATTACTTTACGTGTTAGATCAAAAAGTAATCTGAGTACGTAATGCATGTTACTTGTAATGCGTTTCTTTACTCGTAACAACAAAAAGTAATCTGAGTACGTAATGCATGTTACTTGTAATGCGTTTCTTTACTCGTAACATCAAAAAGTAATCTGAGTACGTAATGCATGTTACTTGTAATGCGTTTCTTTACTCGTAACAACAAAAAGTAATCCGAGTACGTAATGCATGTTACTTGTAATGCGTTTCTTTACTCATAACATCAAAAAATAATCTGAGTACGTAATGCTTGTTACTTGTAATACATTACATGTTAGATCAACAAGTAATCTGATTTCGTAATGCACGTTATTGTAATGTGTTTCTTTACTTGTAACATCAAAAAGTAATCTGAATACGTAATGCTTGTTACTAGTAATGCGTTTCTTTACTCGTAACAACAAAAAGTAATCTAATTACGTAATGCTTGTTACTTGTAATACATTACTTTACGTGTTAGATCAAAAAGTAATCGGAGTACGTAATGCATTTTACTTGTAATGCGTTTCTTTACTCGTAACATCAAAAAGTAATCCGAGTACGTAATGCTTGTTACTTGTAATACATTACTTTACGTGTTAGATCAAAAAGTAATCTGAGTACGTAATGCATGTTACTTGTAATGCGTTTCTTTACTCGTAACAACAAAAAGTAATCTAATTACGTAATGCTTGTTACTTGTAATACATTACTTTACGTGTTAGATCAAAAAGTAATCTGAGTACGTAATGCATGTTACTTGTAATGCGTTTCTTTACTCGTAACAACAAAAAGTAATCTGAGTACGTAATGCATGTTACTTGTAATGCGTTTCTTTACTCGTAACATCAAAAAGTAATCTGAGTACGTAATGCATGTTACTTGTAATGCGTTTCTTTACTCGTAACAACAAAAAGTAATCCGAGTACGTAATGAATGTTACTTGTAATGCGTTACTTTACTCATAACATCAAAAAGTAATCTGAGTACGTAATGCTTGTTACTTGTAATGCGTTTCTTTACTCGTAACAACAAAAAGTAATCTGAGTACGTAATGCATGTTACTTGTAATGCGTTTCTTTACTCGTAACATCAAAAAGTAATCTGAGTACGTAATGCATGTTACTTGTAATGCGTTTCTTTATTCGTAACAACAAAAAGTAATCTGAGTACGTAATGCTTGTTACTTGTAATGCGTTTCTATACTCGTAACATCAAAAAGTAATCGGAGTACGTAATGCATGTTACTTGTAATGCGTTTCTTTACTCGTAACAACAAAAAGTAATCCGAGTACGTAATGCATGTTACTTGTAATGCGTTACTTTACTCATAACATCCAAAAATAATCTGAATACATAATGCTTGTTACTTGTAATACATTACGTGTTAGATCAAAAAGTAATCTGATTTCGTAATGCACGTTATTGTAATGCGTTTCTTTACTCGTAACAACAAAAAGTAATCTAATTACGTAATGCTTGTTACTTGTAATACATTACTTTACGTGTTAGATCAAAAAGTAATCTGAGTACATAATGCTTGTTACTTGTAATGCGTTTCTTTACTCGTAACATCAAAAAGTAATTTGAGTACGTAATGCTTGTTACTTGTAATGCGTTTCTTTACTCGTAACAACAAAAGTAATCTGAGTACGTAATGCATGTTACTTGTAATGCGTTTCTTTACTCGTAACATCAAAAAGTAATCTGAGTACGTAATGCATGTTACTTGTAATGCGTTTCTTTACTCGTAACAACAAAAAGTAATCTGAGTACGTAATGCTTGTTACTTGTAATGCGTTTCTATACTCGTAACATCAAAAAGTAATCTGAGTACGTAATGCATGTTACTTGTAATGCGTTTCTTTACTCGTAACAACAAAAAGTAATCCGAGTACGTAATGCATGTTACTTGTAATGCGTTACTTTACTCATAACATCAAAAAATAATCTGAGTACGTAATGCTTGTTACTTGTAATACATTACGTGTTAGATCAAAAAGTAATCTGATTTCGTAATGCACGTTATTGTAATGCGTTTCTTTACTCGTAACAACAAAAAGTAATCTAATTACGTAATGCTTGTTACTTGTAATACATTACTTTACGTGTTAGATCAAAAAGTAATCTGAGTACGTAATGCATGTTACTTGTAATGCGTTTCTTTACTCGTAACATCAAAAAGTAATCCGAGTACGTAATGCTTGTTACTTGTAATACATTACTTTACGTGTTAGATCAAAAAGTAATCGGAGTACGTAATGCATGTTACTTGTAATGCGTGTCTTTACTCGTAACAACAAAAAGTAATCTGAGTACGTAATGCATGTTACTTGTAATGCGTTTCTTTACTCGTAACAACAAAAAATAATCTGAGTACGTAATGCTTGTTACTTGTAATGCATTTCTTTACTCGTAACATCAAAAAGTAATTGAGTACGTAATGCTTGTTACTTGTAATGCGTTTCTTTACTCGTAACAACAAAAAGTAATTGAGTACGTAATGCATGTTACTTGTAATGCGTTTCTTTACTCGTAACAACAAAAAGTAATCTGAGTACGTAATGCATGTTACTTGTAATGCGTTTCTTTACTCGTAACATCAAAAAAAAATCTGAGTACGTAATTTATGTTACTTGTAATGCGTTTCTTTACTCGTAACAACAAAAAGTAATCTGAGTACGTAATGCTTGTTACTTGTAATGCGTTTCTATACTCGTAACATCAAAAAGTAATCTGAGTACGTAATGCATGTTACTTGTAATGCGTTTCTTTACTCGTAACAACAAAAAGTAATCTGAGTACGTAATGCATGTTACTTGTAATGCGTTTCTTTACTCGTAACAACAAAAAGTAATCTGAGTACGTAATGCTTGTTACTTGTAATGCGTTTCTATACTCGTAACATCAAAAAGTAATCTGAGTACGTAATGCTTGTTACTTGTAATGCGTTTCTTTACTCGTAACAACAAAAAGTAATCCGAGTACGTAATGCATGTTACTTGTAATACATTACGTGTTAGATCAAAAAGTAATCTGATTTCGTAATGCACGTTATTGTAATGCGTTTCTTTACTCGTAACAACAAAAAGTAATCTAATTACGTAATGCTTGTTACTTGTAATACATTACTTTACGTGTTAGATCAAAAAGTAATCTGATTTCGTAATGCACGTTATTGTAATGTGTTTCTTTACTCGTAACATCAAAAAGTAATCTGATTACGTAATGCATGTTACTTGTAACACATTACTTTACTTGTAACATCAAAAAAGTAATCTGAATGCGTTATGCATGCCCCAACACTGCTCATTTCAGATGAGATTGAAAAAAAAACTTATTGCTAGGTTTTCTCAGAAGAGGGCTATGCTCGAAATGTGTCCATCTTGAACATAATCAGAATTATCAGCTAATAAGGGTAAATTAACATACTCTGGTACACTAGAGGGAGCGTCTGAGTGGTTTCCACAGTTGTACCTTGACAGGCTGTCGAAGATTCTGATGGAAGCACGTCCTCATGTTCTGATATCAAAGATACACGAAGTGCAACTTGTATGAAGTTTAATTGCCTTTGCAATATTTCAGATTTATATTTTGTGTATATATTTTATAGTTTTCACATGATTTGATAATTGTATTGATTAGTTTGTTAAATACACATACTTTATCTGTTTGGTTATTGTATTATGTTTAATATAGTATCTCTTCAGTTTAAACCATAAATGCATGCTGTCCACTCAAGTGGATATCTGGAAATCTCTTAGAAAATTTTGTAAAAATAAAATAAATCAAATCTTGTTTTTCATGCCCTAAGAGCAATAAAAACACAGGGAAAAAAATCCTGAATGAGGTTATCATAATTCATGCATGAAAGGGTTAAACATTGATGTCTATCTTTTCTCAGCCATCGACTCATTTTAACACGTGTATGGCATAGCAGCAGCATTACCACATTGAAGCAATACTGCCATCTGGTGATATGAAAACAGTTAAGTGGATATTACAGATCCATTGCATTAATTTCACCACATATAATGTGTAAGTTTGTAATGTATAAGTGGTTTCATAATGATTCCTGGAACGTATGCAATTGAACTATTCTTAAACGATTCTACTCTTATTTTTTACTAACAACATCCTTTTTAACTGATCCACGTCAACTCACTATTTCCTGGTGTCGGTGCACCAGTCCCCGGGCTTCCTTCCTTCCAGAAATCTTTTTCTCACGGCCCGCGCTTAAAAGGTGCGGTCTGTCTTCCCATCGTGAGAACTTTCACACGCGTTTGTCTGGCAGCCGTCCGCAACTTACTCTCGCGATGACAAGGATCTCTCTCTCATCCGCTCCCATAATAAGCGACCTGGAAATCTCGCGTGACTTCAGAACTTTCCCACGCCTGTGCCACCCCCCCCCCACCTTCCTGCTTTATTTCTCACAGTGCCCCTCCCCCTCGTCTAAAAGCAGTCTGTTGCAATGTGGTGTGGAACGGGGGGAAATCTCGCGATTGTTGACGTTATTAGAGAGAGTTGGTGAAGATGGCGCCTGTTGTGACAGGGTAAGCAGCGAAATTGTTAACGGACGGGGCATGGAAAAGTAACAGCTAAAATAAGTTTTGCCCGTCTAGTCAGGATAACTTGCTTTGGTTTATTTATCTACACCCTGGTCGAGTGTTTCTGCTCTGGTTCCCCGTTTCAGCGTACTTTTGTCTGATTTTTGAGGTTTTCAACGATGGTCTCTTTTATTCAGTTAGCCGCTTAGCTTTTAGTTAGCTGATAGATTTTCGGCAGTTTTCCCGTAAACACTGAATGTTACGGAGAGCTAATATTTAACTGTAAACACAGTAAGGTTGTATTGACTGCGTCTTTTGGAACTTTAACATACTTTAAGCTTAAAAAATACATGTATACAAATTGAGCCAACTTGTGAGTTGGTGTACTAGAGAGAGAGAGAGAGAGAGAGAGAGAGGTTAGCAGATGTTAGCCAGTCTAGTAAGTCCATAACAGAGATTTGGAGCTTTCAGGGGATTAAAAAAATGTGTCTTTGTTTCATGTCAGACTTTTCAGTTAAACTACTTTTAGCTTAAAAAGTGTGTATTTGTAGTATCCCGTCACTGCTATTTAAAATGCTAGTGTTTCTTTTAATTTTTTGTTTTATTTTGTATCTCTTTAAAAACCTAGTGGGCATCTTTTGCACGTTTAAACTCGTTTATCTTGCCAAATATGCTGTCTTGGTAGGCAGATGACCAGGCTGTGTTCACCAGCATTGTTTGATAGAGTAACGTTAAATAATAAGTGATTTTTGAATTGTGTCTTAACTGTGTTGTATTTTGTTTTGTAGGAAGTTTGGGGAGCTCCCTCAGCCAAAGCGTTTAACAAGGTAAATGCACCGTGAAGTCCATGTGTTAAGTTTATCAAATGCATTAGGAAACTACAACTTAAATAAACTTTTCTATTGTATTGTGTGGTTTTGCAGAGAGGCGATGCGCAACTACTTGAAGGAGAGAGGAGATCAGACAGTGCTCATACTGCATGCAAAAGTCGCACAGAAATCCTACGGCAATGAAAAAAGGTGAGTGATAAGTTGCAGCTGTAAACATACAGTATATATGATTAGCTGATGCGTTTTAGACTGTAAAGTAAGTAAACATGAAGGTTAATACACATTTCTGGTCTTATTGTGAGTGATAAATCAGTGCCCATTATTCATGTTGACTAAATTAAGTTTTGGTCAGGTCCAGTTAAAGGTGCAGTAAGCAATTTCTGGTAAACCCTGTTGATATTTAAAATCACCAAAACAAATACGCCCATCGATATAGGGGTGTGATCCCTTTGGGTAGATCACACCCCTATCTCAATGCCTCTATCTCCACATTCACGTACACACTATGCAACACAGGCAACGATTATGGTGGAATCTGCTGTGCCTGGCTGCTGCCCGAGGGTATGATGTCATTAATAAGTAAAGGCAATTTGTGTTACTATTATAATACAGGTTGAGTCTCTAATTGTTATTTGTCTCCTCTACTCCTTCGATGACAAAGTCATACCTTCCATCCCAAAAAACAAACTCAGTTTTCACGAACGGCTCTCCACATAACACGATAGTCCAAGTAACTTGAATATTACAAATGTGACAAGATTAAGGGGTTATGGCTATCACTAAAAGGGAAACCAAAAGAAAAAACATATATTAGGAATATGTTGTCTTACTTTTCAGGCACACTTTGGGAGAGCGATGCTTGAAACGGGCGGTGGAGGAGGTTTAGACGATACGGGCTTTTAATAATAATAATCCAAATGAACAAACAAGCGAAGGTTCTGCTAATGTCTGTCTTGTGCACTGAGCTCGCTCTGCTCCCCATCACGAGTGTATACGCCCCTTACTGCTGATTGACTACAAGCGTGTTTTGATGCTCGGTCCGATCCACTTTTCAACAGTCACTTACTGCACCATTAATGCATAACGTCTGCACATTAAATGTAAAGTAAGGTAGGGAGAGTTATGTAAAATCAGATTTCTTATGAGAAGTGAATTGTTCTTTAATCAGTTCAAACTCTCTTTGATTTTGTTAGATTCTTCTGTCCTCCACCATGTGTGTACCTTATGGGTTGTGGCTGGAAGAAAAAAAAGGAACAGATGGAGAGAGAGGGCTGCTCGGAGCAAGAGTCTCAGCCTTGTGCTTTCATCGGCATTGGAAACAGTGAACAAGAAATGCAGCAGCTCAACTTGGAGGGCAAGGTGCTTTATGGATTTTATTATTGCAATGCATGCATATATTGTAAATGCTCTTTAAAATAACTTCATCCTGTCATCATTATCCTTGTGCTTTTCTTCTGCAGAATTTTTGCACAGCAAAAACTTTGTACATTTCTGACTCGGACAAACGTAAGCACTTCATGCTGTCAGTGAAAATGTTTTACGGGAATAGCGCAGATATCGGTGTCTTCCTCAGCAAACGAATCAAGGTCATCTCCAAACCTTCCAAAAAGAAGCAGTCATTGAAGAATGCAGACCGTGAGTCAACAGAATTTCTCATTTATGTCACTAAATGAGATTTGACCATAATTTTTGCTCAGCTCATTTTTTAATTTCTCCTAGTATGCATAGCTTCTGGGACGAAGGTGGCTCTCTTCAACCGCTTGCGGTCTCAGACTGTCAGTACGCGGTACCTTCACGTGGAAGGGGGAAACTTTCATGCTAGTTCACAACAGTGGGGAGCCTTCTACATTCACCTATGTGAGTCATTCACCACAACTGTCTATTAAACACAATATACTATATTAAAAATGGCAACAAGGCTTGATATTGAGCCCTAGTTGCAAAGTTCATTATGTCTAATGAAAGAATGTGTTAAAGTTATCTGTCTTTTAATTTTTTGAACCTGCAGTTTTTCTTGTTTGTTAATTATGAATTGGTAATAATGTGTAATTTTTAATTTCAGTGGATGATGATGAGTCAGAGGGAGAAGAGTTTACAGTCAGAGACGGGTACATCCATTACGGTCAGACGGTGAAGCTGGTGTGCTCTGTGACAGGCATGGCTCTACCCCGATTGGTGAGCTATTATCCACTTTAATGTTCATGATCATTCATGATTAAAAGGGCTGGGCTAAGAAAGTGTGTCCTATTCAATCATGGAATTATGTAAAGTTGTGTCACTGAATTGACGTCATATAATTTCTTTGTGCAAATATGTTTGTCATGCTGTGTACATTGCAAGTATTTTTTAGAAGGTGAAATGTTGCGTGTTTGTGTGTAGGTTATTCGTAAAGTGGACAAGCAGACAGCACTAATGGATGCCGACGATCCTGTGTCCCAACTACATAAATGTGCCTTCTACCTTAAAGATACAGAGAGGATGTACCTCTGCCTGTCACAGGAGAGGATAATTCAGTTCCAGGTAAGTCCATTGTTACAGAAACTTTATTAGATTCATACAGTTTTAAAATCTTTTAACTCAATCTTTTTAGACTTGCTTGGTTTAAAAAAAAAAAAAAAAATTTTTAGAATGTTTGGATGTGAAATAATGCACTATAAATGAAAACATTACATCTGTCTGTTTTAGAATTGCAATGAAATAAAACTTCCTCTTTTCAAAATTAGTCTTTTGAATTTTCATAGTCTTAATTGTTTGGAGGCTCTATGATATTTTTTTAATGGTAAACAATTCAAATATTTTTCTCTTCACTGAACTACTCTCAGGCCACACCCTGTCCCAAAGAAACAAACAAAGAAATGATCAACGATGGGGCGTCATGGACAATCATCAGCACAGACAAAGCAGAGTACACTTTCTATGAGGGCATGGGCCCTGTACCCTCACCTGTCACACCCGTGCCTGTTGTTGAGAGTTTACAGGTAATGCACAGTCACAATCAAGGCTTTAAAGGTGCTGTGAGCAATTCCAGATGTTTTTTATAATATCAACACATAACGTTAATGGCTTCATTACATTACAATTGTTTTCTATTAAAAGAGCATGGCAAATCTGTCATGTTATCTTGTAACCTTGAACCCTAAATGTTCTAGCTGAATGGAGGAGGAGATGTTGCCATGCTGGAACTGACAGGACAGAACTTCACACCTAACCTCAGAGTCTGGTTTGGAGATGTGGAGGCAGACACTATGTACAGGTAAAACCAACACACCAATCACAGTGCTGTACAGTTCAGCAAATAACAAAATATTTACCGTTAAATCAGGGCTGCCATAATTGAGTTGGATTCATGCGGTTCTTGAGGTGTAATAGGATTAGTATTATAATAGTACTTCTATTCACCTCTAAGCGAAGAATGAAAAAGAACTTTGCTCCGAGTATGTCAGGGCCTTAAGAACATATTCAATGTATAGGTTTTACTAGTATCAGCACAATAATCTGTTTATTGTCCTTCTTTAAACCCATTATTATTGTATCAGCAAAATCTAATATCGTTTGACCTCTAATTCATAAGTATTGATCCACATACATAAAGGAATTTCAATACATATGTACATACAGGGCTCTAGAGTGTGACCAAAGTTTGTAAGGGTGCGACTAAAATTTTTCCTAGGTCACACCGGTGCACCTAACGTCCTCGCATCCGATGCCTCTCCACGAACGAAGCGCTTGTTCTCCTTTGACAGAACTCTCACTCATGGTTGGATCATATCGTGGTCTAAACCAATCAGAGACAGAGATGGGGCGGGTCTTTGCCTCTAATTGGCTGTGGTCCAGATATTCCTGTAGGCCTACACTGCTCGTGCTCCGTGCTGTGTGATTGAAATTGCGACCTGAGCACCAGGGAATCAGGCCTCGTTTAAACTGTCAGTGAAATGTGACCCAATTTCGATTTTTTGCTCATATGTGACAGATCGGATGTGTTCTATGACCGTGTAAACAGGAAAAAAAACGCATGCATTCGGATATTTCGAGATTGGTTTCAGGCCTCGTTCATATGTGGAAATAAATCAGATATAAATCAGATATGTGCCAATGCGACTGTCATGTAAACGGGCAGATCGGATTTTCTGAGGCATTAGGCTCCGTCTCCGCGCTTTAATGACGAGCAACCCCAACACGCATCTGCAAAGGGACGGATGGCTCGACGAAACGTTGTGTCGTCGTAGGAGAGGAATGTGGACAAACGTTGACACAACATATCAAAGGTTGGCTTGCTCATCCTAAAATTTCGGACCCACTGCTCCTCGTTAAAGCCCGCCACGATCTCATGAAACTGCGTCTATTGCACGAATTTTATTTATCGTGCCATTTAGGCCTACGCCAAAAATAGTTTTTGCGTGCGTATGATACGCACTTTATGGCGTTTAATACGCACATTTACAGTGCTTATCATATTCACGCAAAAACTATTTTTGGTGTGAGAAATAAAATTTGTGCTATAGATACTCACTTTCATGAGATCGTCCCGAGATCTCTCTCGCTGCGCGTTCGTCCATCTGTGCAAGAAGAACCCCCTTTAAACATGTGCAATGTTTCAGATCTATAGCAAGTGTAAACACATGAATCGGATATGGGTCACAATTTAAAGAACGTGTAAACGGACGGTCAAAAAAATCGGATATAGGCAACAAATCAGAATTGGGCATCAAGACATCCAGTGTAAACGAGGCCACGGCAATCAGCATCAGCAAAATAAACACAAGAAAACAAACGACGAACAATGAAAAGATATAGACGCATATTGAGTGTTTTTTCTTTATGAAAAGTAGGCCTGTTCCCCCCAACACTCTCCCCGGTCAATGCTCCGACAACAGCCCAGTCATGGCACTTTTAAACAGTAGTTATTTCTATTTTGAAATGTTTTATTTTGCTTAAAATGTTTTATTTTGGCAGCTCAGTGAAGATTTTTATTTTTATATACAGTATAATTGTGCTTCAAAAAAAAAAAAAAAGTATTTACCTACACCTTATTCTTGTTTAAAATCATTTACCCGTATTTTCCGCACTATAAGGCGCACCTTCAATGAATGACCTATTTTAGAACATTTTTCATATATAGACCAATTTTCAGTTGGTAAACATGGTGACGTTTTTATGTGGGCGGAGCTTAGGTGGTGGCAGAACGATCCCTCTGGCCGCTTCACTAACGTAAAGTCTGCAAGTTTTGTTAGCTTGTTTTTAACAATGACTGGAGAAAATCCGATTTTATCTTAATGTGCAAGGTCACTCACTGTCCAGGACCGCGATTGTTATTTGCAAAAGTTAATTTTAACGGACGGAACCAGATTGGCTGACCCGTACACTCATTGAGGATCTGACAGGATTAACGTTAACGCTACCTCCGGTTGAGTGGCCTGACTTCTACACCTACCTGATAGAGAAACGGAGGGCATATAAATCTTTAGATGCCTATAACTATGTGCTGAATGGTGATGTGCAAGACGTGTGTGTACGATCCGCAGTTCTGCTAGCCAGCGCCATGAAGACGACAATGTAAAGAGTGACATTACGGTGCAATTTTAACGAGGTGAATATTTTCTAGAAATAAAAAATTGCAGATAAAGCATATTAATGTTTCATTGATTCTTGCACCCAACAACACAACAAGATGACATTTAATAATAATAAGAATAATTTAAGATCCTTATTTTGTAGGCGAATTTGTGCTGGTTTGTATTCACCGCCTCCAGTTTTCCCTTTGTTCTGCCACCAGCTAGCGCTGTGACGTAACTGTGACGTCGGCTGGAAATTGGTCTATAGGGCGCACTGGATTATAAGGCGCATAAGATACTGCAGTCAAACGTTTGACTGGGTTTGCATTATGCATCCACTAGATCAGTGGTTCCCAAACCTGTCCTCACGGCACCCCAACACTGCACGTTTTCTTTATCTCCCTAATCAAACACACCTGATTCAACTCATCAGATAATGAGCTGATGAGTTGAATCAGGTGTGTTTGATTAGGGAGATAAAGAAAACGTGCAGTGTTGGGGTGCCGTGAGGACAGGTTTGGGAACCACTGCACTAGATGTGCTAAAGGGAATGTCAACAAAACAGTCAGACAAAGTCAAACTTTATTAAGCGTTCTGACAACTCTGTTCACTCCCATGGCTACGTTGTTCAAACGTTAAAGGAGAACTCCGGTCAATTTTAACATTGAGCTAATTTTTTTGTCAATTTGGAGTGCTGTCAGTACAGATAACAACGACAAAAACCGGTGTTGCCTACACCGTGTTATCCTCTTTTTAAAATTTGCACCCTGTTGACTTAAACGGGACAAGTTTTAAACCTGCTTTTAGCCTCTTAACAACCTTAATGTGTCATTACAAGTGCACAGCCATGTGAGTGAACATGGTGAATTTGACTGCAGTAAATGTGAAAGATATGAATAAAAATGATTTTTATTCAGCCAGCTCACATACCCGTATTTTCTTCCTGTTTTCGGTCGAAGTCCACAGTAGTCGATTGTCGAGTGCGCGCGCGCGATCATTGATAACTAAGCAACAGTGGAGACTCAGACTGTCAGCCGATGACGGTGCTGTGTGGTGTTCTGAGAGTATCAGCTCAAATGGATAGTTCATCCGAATCAGATGTTGAACACACGGAGGAGGTTTGATCGCGCGCGAACTCGACTGTGGACTTCGGCCGAAAACAGGAAGTAAATACGGGTATGTGAGCTGGCTGAATAAAGAGATTATTCCTGCCTTCGTGAAAGCTCGGATCACAGTTGAGACTGATATATTAGCCCAGGCATTCACGATCCATTGGCAGATAGTGGCGTAAGTCGCCCGGCGCTGTCTCCCCGTCTTGTTGAACGTGTGTTCACCATCCACATATAAGGCGCTCCGGATTATAAGGCGCACTGTCGTTTTTTGAGAAAATTAAAGGCTTTTAAGTGCGCCTTATAGTGCGGAAAATACGGTACATAATATATATGAATATGTATGGAGCGTGATAAAAAGGTGACCTAGAAATTGTGGCGTTAAGGGCGACACGAGCCGAGGAATAAATAAATAAAAAAGTTAGGCGCACCAGTGCAACCAAGGCAAAAAGTTAGTCTGGAGCCCTGACATATTGAATAAAACATATACTTAACATACATAAACTTGCAGTTAGTCTGTTTCACTGATAAGCAGTATAATACTGTCCTCATTGAATGTGAGCCTCAGCCAGTTTAATTAAGTAAAATAATCTGTGATGCATAAGGTATTAATTTAAATTTGTGCATGTCTTAAATTTGATTTTAAAAACTTTGCAGATACCCTGTAATATATATCTCCTTTTGTTTTCCTGACTGCGTGATGCATATTGGCAGAAAAAACGTTCCAGATATATTAAGAATATTCGATACATAATTGTCAGTAATTCATACGTACTCACAATACAATCATGTACCGTTTCCTGCAGGTGTGGCGAAAGCGTGCTCTGCGTGGTTCCTGACATCTCTGCGTTCCGTGAAGGGTGGCGTTGGGTTCGGCAGCCGGTGCAGGTTCCTGTGACTTTGGTCCGTAATGACGGCATCATCTACTCCACGGCTTTGACATTTACCTACACGCCGGAGCCGGGACCGCGTCCTCACTGCAGCGCTGCGGGAGCCATACTGCGGGCCAACAGCAACTCCTCCACCTCACCATCTTCATCCTCCAGCTTACTGCTGCAGTCAGCTGTCGACAGCCAGGCGGGATACGCAGCAGGGAGTGTGTCTTCATCTTCCTCCTCTTCAGCTATGTCCGTCTCCTAACCTGGGAATCTTGGTGCGCGTTTGCGTGTGCGAGTAAGTGAACCTTTGTGAGAGATGGTGATTCATCAGTTTGTAGACTTCCTGCGTAGGTTCATGGGATACTGATCACAAAAACGGATAATGGTGCCACAGAGAGAGAAGCAAAGGAGAGACAAGACTTCACTCAAAGACTGGACAAAACAAATGAAGGCATCTCTTTTCTTTTCTCTCTCTTTGTTGCGGTTCTTGTTAAATCTGTTTCCTCATGTCAGAGGAAGTGGCAACAGAAGTGATGTGTGCCGTGGATCAAGATGCCACAGGATCAATGCATAGCCTTACATGAAAACAAAAAAAACAATCAGTCAAAAAAACAACACAAACAAACAAAAAAACAACACCTCTTCAAAACAAAGCCTTTTCTAAGTAAGTGCAGGACGGAAATGGCTTTGCGAGATGTTGTTTTCTACTAAAGGGCTTAATGCACTGTTTCGCCAGGCTTGGAAGAAAAGTTATCATAGTAATATAGTTTTTACGGACCAAGGAATATTATTATTATTATTATTATTATTTTTATTGATATATAATTTTATAAGCTTTAGCTAAGGTACATTTTTCACCTTTTTAAGTTTTATAACATATAGTAAACTTTTGTTACCAAATAGTTTTGTATATTTCTTATGAGCATTTGGGCTCAGAAGGAAGAGGTTCATGTGTTTTGAAAGCCTGAACTTATAGCTGCCTTTATCCGTCTTGGCAAATGCCTTAAGTCTTCTGGAGTTTTTCACCAGACCCTTGTCTCTTTTGTAATATTTTTGTCATGTATATTAGTCCTTTTTTTTCCCATTCTTTTTTTTTTCTTCACTAAACCGGTGTAATATTGATGCCATTTTTTGCGTATTTGGGAGAAGGTGACTCTTCTGCTTTGTTAAACTTTTCTCATATGATGTCTTTAACACAAAAGCTTTAACTGACTTTGCTGGTAGGCCTTATGTGCCATATCGTACTCAACAGATAGCCATTGATCTGGCCCTTTTTCATTGGCTATATAGATGTTCAAACTGCCAACATAAAAATATCCCACACCAAATGGATTACCTTTAGTTGAACATAAGCGCACAAAATCCCTTTGTTGCTTTGTTTGGGGGTCGGCGATTTCTAATTAATTGGTTTATTCAAATCCTGTGGTAGGGAAGGACTGTACCGGTCTCGATTGCATATCATTCATGCTTACAGTGTCATGATTATTGTTAGTATCATACTAAAATCAGTGTGTAGGAAAATTGCTGCTTTGTTGTCATGTGGTTAAACCATATAGAGAAGGGATTGTGGGGATTCTGTAAGTACAGTTACAAGTAGCCCTGTCTGTTTTTGTCTAGGAATGAATGAAAGTTTGGACTCTCTGTGCTTCTAGAAAGGCGTGTGCAAAATTACTTCTTTTCAGAACCAGCCAATTAGTGGTTTACCTGACTGACTAGTTGACTAATTGGTCTTGTAAAGCCTTGTAATTTGGTTGGTTTCTCGTTCACCTTACCCTGATCAGACGTTTTTCTTAGGAGTTTACATAAGGTGCACTCGTGTTTGAAAACGGCTAGATGGAGCACAATCGGAACAATTTTTAATTTATGTAGTTAACCACTTTTGTATTAAATGTGACATTTAGTTAAAAACAACACTCATACTGGGATGCTCAAATGGATTTTTTTTAAATGTGAATGGTGGTTGTACTAGAAATCTAGATAAACTAGTCATCCTCACTAATTGACTAGTTTGTCTTTGCTTGTAGTCAACTAGCATATCGGTGTGAAGCTGAATGGAAATAACCGTAAAAAGCACTTATCGCATTGCTGCGTGAAGATGTTTGGTTTGTAGGGTACAGACAACAGAATCTTATCCTACCTTTCATATGTTTTGATTTATGAAACCGCAGAAGTGACCGGCCTTAATGTACATAAAAAATGACCCCTATTAAATTGACAACACCATGTGTAATTTTTTTTTTTTTTTTCAATGTTTAGTACCAAATGTTCTCTTCTGTAATAGCTGTATCTAAAGCAAACTAAAAATGAGGCCTTAAACCACTACTGCTTAATTACTGGATCTGGTGGTAAGATATTACACTACAAATTATGCTCTTTTGTAAAAAGGGCATGATTGTTTTTTTTTTATACCTTTTTCAATGTCACAGAAAAAAAGTCATCTCAAATCTGTCTATGTGCATCGTTTGAACAGAGAGGAAGAGACACCCATGAAATAGAGTGCTCTGGAATTTGCTTTCAATCGGTATGGACTGCATTTTGTTACTGTTTGGGATTTATATAGGAACAGAAGTAGTTCCTCAATGGTTTTGGTTTTTAATTTATCAGTTTCTTCCATGGCTAATATTAATATATGAGTTTGTCTAAAAATTATATTGATCATTTTATATAATTTTTTTTATTGTATAATGGTATGAAATTATAATAATGGTTATGTTAAAATTTCAAAATTTCTTCCATGATTGAGGGAAAATTACTATGAAAAGTCTTTTGTATGTCACTTTTAAAATGATTATTATTATTATTTTTACATCTCTTTTTTAAACTGTCAGGCCTTGAGAAATAAAAGCCAAAACCCAGTAGTTCTTGTAAAGCCATTAACTTGTATCTATTGTGAGCTATTTCATTCAATTCCTCAATCAGGGAAGAATGTTAAACCATATCATCACGTGGAAGTGCCGAAATGGAAACTGCCAAATCTAAAGGTCAAATTGTGAAAGTAACACAACCTTTCCATGTATGTCTTCAGTGTTATTTTTTTGTCTTGTATCCCGCTGTCTTCCAGAGTGTTCGAATCAGAGGATCTGAATGGTTAATTTCAAGACTAACCAATGTTGACTTTCATTATCACTATCGCATAAGTTAGTTGCCTGTCACATGTGCCACTGTGCTTACATTGAGCAGAAACTAGTGTATTAGATCACTGTTATCTTTGTCGGTTTTGTCTGTAGAAAAAAAGGATGAAAATGTATGTGTTCTCAACCGTTTTAACGGATTGTTTTACATTTTGGAAGTTACCAGCCTTTGCCAAATGGCTACCAGCCATTCTGGTTTTGAGTGCATGCTCTAGCAGATTTGAACTGTATTGGTGCTGTCTAACTCCTAAAGGGCCAGTGTATCTATTGCTTTTGGAATGGATCACTAAACACTGTAATAGATTCAAAAAGTGTCAAGTTGTTCATTTATTTTTGTCTTTACTGCGCTAAATTGAGTGTATGATACAAAACCATCAAGGAAGTGTGGTACGAAGATTGCAATACTGTCATGTGACCACTGTGTGCTTGAGGGATGGTTCAGCCAAAAACAAAAAATCTTGACACTTTCCTCACACTCATGCCATTGCAAGCACTGCAGTTTAAACTGCCCTAATCAAACACAACTGATGCAACTCATCAGCTTGGCTTGTTAGTAAAGATTCCAAGGTTGCATTTAACACCACTCCGCTCACAAACTTCCCTAAGCACTTCCATTTTGAAGTGCGTTCAACTTCAAGTGGACAAGGGAAGTTTATTTTGACCGAGGGAGCGAGTGTATGAGTCTGGAGTGTACACTTCAGGCAGATCCATAGACAACAATGTAAAACTACACTTAATTTACCCACACACTTTACATGATTCAAACAATGGAGGGAAAAGTAGTTTACAGCTGTAAGTTAAGTTAGGCCAATTCAGCAGTTTAGAAGAGTTACACTGAGATAAAACACTACAGCATAGCTCCATAGCAGATTCAAGTGATCAAGGGCTTAGGGTGTCCCATTGCAAGGGTTCTGCCAGTAGTGGACACTCATGCAACATAAGCAATGACGTACATTCGAGTGATCAAGATGGAGGGAAGTTAGCTAGGGAAGGGCATAAAAAAGTGGACTTGAACGCAGCTCAATACCTTAGATGGGTGTGTCAGATAAGAGAAATATCCAAAATGTGGGGTACTTTTGAAAAACCAGGGTTAGGTAACACTGTCCTACAGAATTGCTTTTTGGTGTGGGGAGAATCCTTGGTTTAATCATGCAGTGCTGGAAACACTGTAATAGTAGTATGGTGGTATACCATTCCGAACATACCCACTGTTTACCATTCTCATTGGTCGCAATATAAATTGAGATGCAAGTCTTTTACAGTAGGGAAGTGGATTGACTTACATTGTGGAGTGCCAACAACAAATTGGCCCTCATTACTGCTAAGACTCTTAAAATGATAGTACCTCTGAACTCTCTTTACTGGTTATCAGGGATTCTGCAGTAAATATGATGGAATCCCAATCCCATATATTCATCTCCAAACACTAACTGTTGGGACAGAAACATCAGCACCATAAAGGACGCACAGCAGCTCAGAGGTTTCAAGAAACTGGAGGACGCTACTCAACCTGTTCTCCTCAACAAGAAATGTTAGCTTATTACACGCATACAACCAGACCCAGATTTTAAAAGCAACAGGACAATTGTGTGCCAAATTGTACAGCATATGAGAATCAAAGCCTAGAGAATTATTTTTTTTACATAATAGATTGATGACATCTATGCTGGCCACCAGGGGCAGAAATGAGATGATGTTTCTCTCATTCACTTTGAAGTGAGTTTGCCCTGAATTACAATGAGAGACACCTGTCACTTGTGCATGCTTTAAGTGCCAAATGTTTCCCCCACTGCTTGGCATCCACTCGCTCATGCCTCAGTTTTATTTTTAGACCTTATGGGGTTGTTGAGATGTAACCTGAAGCTTTCTTTCTGTTGCTGTGTATGAGTCGTGTATGAGTCTTCGACCATGTTAATCTGATAGGGCTCTAAATTTAATTCAGAGACCAATATTAAGTGTGTACTGGACCTATATGAGAGAGTAAATGTGTAGGGTTTGTTTTATTCAATCCCTCCAAATTGAATGCTCTTGATGAATGATTATTAATTAAGATTGGTTAATATTGTCTAACTGTCATTTCATAATTCTAGAGTCGAGTGTAGATTTGCCATAGCCGTAATGACGTTTTCCAAGCGTTTTCTTTAAAGAGATGTCAAATAAAAAAAAAGTTGAATTATTTCAACTGATTTTGTTCATTCAAATGGGAGTCAGTAGGGTCCAAAACAACATTGGACCATAAATAAATAAATGGTAACAGTTATATAAATTACAATAAAATATATCATAGTAGTCAAAACTTCGTATCATTTTTCTATTTTAATTCCAACAAATTATTTATTTTGAAATTATTCACAAATTACACGGTCCATATGTTCAGTGGATTCAAGCACAATTTTTTTGTATGAATTTAATTTTTATTTAGTTTTAAATGCACGTCATTTAGCCGTTAATAAATATTTTATTATATAGTTGAATTTGTTAATGCTCAAGTTTCTTTCTTTTTATGCTTTATTTGAACATTCAGTTTACACGGTAGCCTACAACAAAATTAGAACATCACAATAGTTAAGAATAACACCAATAGAGAGAGTAATGCTCAAGTGTCTTTTTGTTTTTAATGCTCAAGTTTATTGGTAATGTTCTTGGAGCGTTCAATTACGTAAACAAATTAATATTCATAATTCAAGTCAACGTCTACCTCAGCAAATCAGTTTACTTGGCAAGCGCCACGCAAGCTAATTAATATTCATGAGTCAGACGCCGTTTAAGGATTAGTAAATTCGCGTTTGGCTTTGGAAGAGCAGACGCATGCTAAATACGAGCTTACAAAGTTTGTGACATTTAGTAACTGGGACACTTTTATGGACACGTATTATCCAAACGTTCCCAGAGAGAAGTATACTATCTGAACTTTATTCATATCCAGGAACCTGACTTTCAGAAGGACTTCTATTCTTGGTCATCGTATTTTCATTCCAACGCCGTATTTTAAAAGTGGAACGTTCTTTCTTTAGAATCCGTTTTTCAAAGTCATGTTATATTAATCTGTTTACTTTGTTCCGCCATTTCTTTGGAATGTAACAACAAAACGTCATTGGCAAAACCAGATGTTGGGATGTATCTACCCTTTTAAACGTTGTGACTTATTCTTTGGAGTTGTAAACAAACATTTTGAACAGTTTTTCGGGGGTTTTTTGTGTGTGTGATTATTTTTTTTTTTTTTAAATGCCCACACTGTTGCTTTTCTAACCGGCGGACGATACCTTTTCTTGGAGCTGGAGCTGGAGCTGTTTATAGCATCACTATCACGTAACGTTACATTTGGACGCACATGTGTTTTTTAAATCATAGACAGTAAGTGGCACTTGAAGCCTGCGATGCAGAAGTTCTGCCTCACCGTCCTGCTCGTACTGCGCGGGCTGATCATCTGCGTCTGTTCCAGCGATGAGCAGCAGCACACTGGACTGTACAGGGACACAACTGTGACCTCAACAGGCACGTGTGCACGACCAGATGATGTTAATATTCATAGATATTTTTTGCTAAGCCTCAGAATGCTCCCTACATTATGTGATTATTTACAGCAGAAATAATATCAAGAGCAATAGGCCTAATATCAAAAGTTCAGGTATACAAAATAATTGCATATCTGGTTTCACAGACAAGGTTTAAGCTAGTCTTAGACTAAAATGCATGTTTGACCTGTTTTAAATGAAAGCTACTTGCACTGACATATCTTAAATTATGCCAGTGCCATTGTTTTGTCTCAAGATGCACACCAGTAATGTTTTTTTTATAGGGCACATATATAAAAGCTACTAAAAATACCCTTATTTATGTAACTAAGGCCTAATCCTGGTTTAATCTAAGCCCTAAAACCGGGCCTTTATGTTCTAAATCAGTCTCTTTTGGGAGATTTCACTGAGTAATAGAATATTAACATTAAATAATATGTAACTATTTTATGATGCTTCACTGTATTATTGCTATGGTAAAAAAAAAGAATACTCATTTGAGTATTCTTAATTCAGAGGGGGATTAAAAATGGACACATTAGACAATTTAAACAGTCAAAGTATTGAACTAAAAAATTAAGGTGTTGTCAGATAATTTTGTAATGGAAGACATTGTTGACAGAATTCATACTGAATCTGTGATTTGGCAAATTTTAACCCATTTGGGACATTAAACAGAGAGCAAATTTGTAGAAATCTTTACAATTTTATTACTGTTTTGGAGAAAAAACAGAGAAATGAAAGAGATGTTGTTGTCACTGTTGATGTTTCTTTCCTGTGGGAAAAGATAATGATGCCTCTTGATAACATGTTGACATTGCAAGTGTTTATTGGATTGCTTAACTCCTCTGTCCTCCTTTCACCAACAGATCCATGTCTGCAAGTGAGCCCTCCATGTGTGACGGAGGCTGACCGCTTCAGTCTGGAGGCTCTTCAACACATACACAGAGAGATGGATGACGATCAGGATGGAGGCATTGAGGTGGAGGAGAGTGTCGAGGTAATCAACAGTCACAGATGTCACAATCACAAGTCCGAAAAAAGTTTCCTCACACCCTAATGTAAATCCTGCGGGGTTTCCACAACTTCTGGCCAATCATTTTCCCTGAACTTTGCAGTCAAGTGGATAACGAAAGAGCAGTTTCTAGCTGATGAAATGTTCTATAGCTGATCATTAGATTAAATAATTGTGAAGATCTATAGAATTTCCATGACTTTTCCAAGCCTTTAAACAAGGGCTCCACGATTAAATTGAAATAAAACTGAAATCACAATATGGCTTAGTGCGATTATCAAATGATCTAATAAATAAGTAAATAAATATATGTGCTGCATGTTTAATTTAAGTGTGATTTGAAATATTTGAAAATGAAAAAAACAAGACCGTCATAAATATTAGTATTTTCATTTTGCAGGTGCACAAAATTCTGGGTTGTTTCAACCCGTGTTTGGGTGACATATGAACAAAACCAACCGTTGGTATACATATATATATATATATATTTTTAAACCCAATGGTTGGGTTTGGCCATATTTGACCTAAACATGGGTTGAAACAACCCAGCATTTTTAGAGTGTGTAATACAATATAAAATTATTATCATAATTATCATTATTATGTTTCTTAAATACTAAATTTTTTTTATTTTACAGTTAAATATTGCAAGAGTACTGTTTCTTATTTTGTTTTAATTTAGCAATTTATATATTTTTATTTAATGATAAAATAATAAAATATTTTATTTAATAATTAAAAGTTTTGAACAGCCTTACAAACAAGCACAGCAAACCTGTAATTTTTTTTCCCGTCATAATCTCAATTTTTATCAGCAAAATCGCAATTAGATTTCTTCCCCAGATCATGCAGCCCTAGTTGAAGCCACACTTTTAAAATTTCCCTTAAATATATATTTCAGATATTCCACAATTGAGCACTTCATTTTCTTGTTTTGCTGCTTATTCTAACAGATGGTCGAGTAGCACAAATGTAGTAATTATCAAGTCTGAGGATGTGAACATTCTAAACTCACACTCAAGATCAGCTTTACATTTTGGTATGTTTGTGTGATGTTTGCGTAAGTGCTAGAGTGTTATTCCAAAGCACCCGGCCTTGAGTTCCTCCCCCAAGCCTGTTGGTCAATTTAGAAACACATGTTTCCATCCAACACCTAAGACAAACTGTTCAGGCTTGGCTTTGGGAGAACATAGCAGAGGGGGATGAGTTACTAAGTAATGTCCTGAAGTGTGTCCATGTCTCTAGCATTGGGTTTCTTTTCCTTGTTGCTATAGAAAAGGTTTAGATGGATCGAAGCAGCGAAGAAGCCTGGAATCACGTGGTGCATCTGATTACAGCAGAGACAGATTCCAAGACACATTCACAGACACTTGAGCTCTTTTGAACTTGAATGTTTACTCAGCTGTTGTTTTATGTGTGGTGAGATTTGTACTAGTATTTGTGTAGAGTTCAATTTAAATCGGCTACTCTTTTGCATCTGCATCTCTTCTTATTGTAGTTTATCATAGAAGATATGCAGCAGCAACAACAGGCAAACAAGCACAGTAAACTCCATCAAGAGGACCAGCATATCACTTTGGAGGAGCTTTGGAAGGGCTGGAAATCTTCCGAGGGTAAGATGGTCTCCATCCATGATTGTGTGTTTCTCTTTTGGTTCTTTTTTTTACTGCTTTCTATCTTTCTCTCAGTTCATAACTGGACTCAGGAGGATGTCTTGAGGTGGCTAAGAGAGTTTGTTGAGTTGCCTCAGTATGAAAAGAGCTTCAGAGAGCTGCGTGTCAGTGGAAACACCTTGCCCAGGTGAGACAAAAACACTATAGAATCATTTCTAAATTTTTTCGTCTATTTTGGCAAGTGCCCTCTCATATCAGCCTGATTTCACAAGTTATCATAGGTATTTGTACATAAAAAAGTTTGGATATATATTGAAACTGTATGACTGATGTTCTAATTGCATCTAAAATGTAAATGCACAGCTTTAGAAATGTAGAAATATTTACTAATCCTTTTTTATTCTATTTATAATATCAATAGAATACAAATAAATTACAAATATAGATCATTTAGAGGCTCTAATCCCACCTTTACACTAAACCAAAGCACTCAACATTAAAAACTTAATAGGCATTATAAATTGACAGTGATAATGATATTTTTAACAGCACCAGAAGTCACACAGGACAGAATGAAACTGTTGTAATGTAAACATTTGTAAATGTGTTAAATAAATGTGATTGCATTGAAAATACACAATCGTTCAGAAGTTTGGGGTTGGTAAGATTTTTTAATGCTTTTGAAAGAAGTCTCTTATGCTCCTTATTTGATAAAAAAAATCACATGATCCTTCAGAAATCATTCTAATATGCTGATTTGGTGCTCAAGAAGCATTTCATATTATTATCGATGCTGAAAACGTGTGGTGCTTCATATTTTTTGTGGAAACCATGCTAAAAAAAAAAAATTCCCCAAGATTATTTAATGAATATAAAGCTCAAAAGAACCTTTTCATTTATTTGAAATAAAAACCTTTTGTAACATTATAGATGCCTTTACTGTCACTAGTGATGCATCCTTGCTGAATTAAAGTATTCATTTATTTTAAAAAAAAATTACTGACCCCAAACTTTTGACCGGTTGTGTATTTAGTTAATGTTATTGATTAAATACTGCATGCTCCAGCTAACAGTTTCTTACTTTGAATTTACAGGATTGCTTCCAATGAGCCATCCTTTATGAGCGGTTTTCTGAAGATCCAGGACCAGCAACACAAACAAAAACTCAAGCTCAAAGCCCTGGATGTAGTGCTGTTTGGCCCACCTACACGTATGTATACACTTCATATATATTAATGTAATGATTTTTGTATCAAACTCTGTGTTTTTTCAGTCTCTGAGCTATTGTACGAAACAGTTGTAGTCCAGTGGCAGTGATTTAATTGTAAATAAGATCATTAAATAACTATAATGAATTCTAATGCGAAATCAAATATCCATGCACGCCTGTTGAGAACGCAACAAATTCTTCTCTCACACTGTAAAATATATTCAGCAGATATCAAGTCAGCATGCAATATAAACACTCAGATGTCACGTCACAAAATGTTTCATTGGCTGTGTGACTAATATCCCTGTGTACATTTGCTCCAGGACCTCCACACAACTGGATGAAAGACCTGCTTCTGATTGTGTCAATAGTAATGGGGATTGGTGGATGCTGGTTTGCACGAGTACAGAATAAGACATCTAAGATTCATATTTCAAAGATGATGAAGGACCTGGAAAGCTTGCAGAGAGCTGAACAAAGCCTCAGAGACTTACAGGGGCAGTGAGTACACCTTCTTCACAACCTCCACATTCAACATCAGTTTAAATCATGTTTATTCACCTATATAAATAAACTTGTTTGATTCACACCTGATCCAACAATCTATATAATATAAGCGATATTTAAAGGGATTGTTCACCCAAAAATGAAAATTCTGTCATAATTTACTCACCCTCAAGATGTTACAAACCTGTATGAATTTCTGTCTTCTGCTGAACACAAAATAACATATTTTGAAGAATATTGGTAACCAAGCAGTTGATGGACCCCATTGACTTCAATAGTATTTTTTTTTCTATACAATGGAAGTCAATGGGGTCCATCAACTGTTTTGTTACTCATATTCTTCAAAATATCTTCTTTTATGTTCAGTAGAAGAAAGAAATTCAAACAGGTTTGTAACAACTTGAGTGAGTAAATGATGACAGAATTTTCATTTTTGAGTGAACTATCAATTTAAATGTCAGAAATATATTTATTTGTTCAATAAACATTGTGTTCTTTGAAAAATAAAAAGGTGACAGCTATGATGTCAATGACAGCTATAAATAGACTTATATATGAATAATTACCTTAAAAATTAATAATTCATTTAAATATTTTATTTTCACAATATTTAAATCAGCTACATTTGCAACAACAATGTTCAATACATCACAACAAGCCAAAAGTTTGCAAGGCATAAAAATTCATTTATATGTGATTAACAAACTTGAGACAGTTGACAACATTATAGGAATGGTAAACTTAACTGGCACTAAAACAATGAGGGTCTCAATTGTGTGACCTCATTAAACTTTAACATACATAAATATACTAAATAAAAATATAATCATTCGTTTTTATATAATTACTTTTTAAACCAGGCATTTATATCAGAAGTAACTAAGTCACTAAAATTAGACTTCCCATCAAAAAATACAAGAGAGGGGGTGACATTGGAGAGCATTTTTTCAGCGTCTTATAGAACAAACACTGCATTTTTTATGTTTTTGTAAGGTTGGAAAAGGCCCAGGAAGAGAAGCGCACAGTGGCGGTAGAGAAAAAGAATTTAGAAGAAAAGATGAGGGATGAGATTCAAGGTGCTCAGGATGAGGCCAACCGCCTGCACAGACTCCGGGATGGAGCAGTGAGTGAACTCAGCCGTCTTTGGTATGCAGAGGAAGAGCTTGAACAGGTAAACATCTGCAGTTCTCCCTGTAAAACATCTCCCAACAAGACTCCACTACACCATGGTTCTCTGTGCTCTTGGTACAGGTACGTGATGCATTGAAGAGGGCAGAGAAAGACATGCAGTCCCTCTGGGCAGTTCCTGAAAATTTGCAGCTGTGGCTTCAGCTCACCTATGAGGTGGAGGTCCAGTACTACAACATCAAGAAGCAAAGTGCAGAACAACAACTACTCACGGCTAAAGAGGAGGTATTTTAGAGATGAATGAGTCACCCGTTTCAAACCCATTCCCATGCATGGAATCAAATACAGAGTGAATCATTGTTTTGCCTTTTGAGTTAATGTATAGAATCTGTATAACTAATGAGAGGGCTGTGGAGCGTCTTGCATGAACTTATTTAATCACTCTGTATTTTTTCACAGGCTGAGAAGATCAAGAAAAAAAGGAGTTCGTTGTTGGGTACACTACATGTTGCACACAGCTCCTCACTGGATCAAGTGGATCAGAGAATTCTTGAGGCCAAGTAATTTGTGTTCATTCTCATTTAAAACTGAATAAATAATGCAATGAAATTCATACTATTTTCAATGTGGATCCAAACAGTTTGGGGGCTAATGTTTAAATCACGAGTACTTACATTGACCTGCATTTGTATTTTGTTAAAGGAATGCACTAGCAGATGTCACCGCTTGTCTTCGGGAGCGTCTGCACCGGTGGCAGCAGATTGAGAGCTTGTGTGGGTTTCCTTTGATGAAAAATACGGGCCTATCCAATCTCACCGCTACACTCTACCCAGACCCCAACTGGATGCTAATGCCCCGGGCTGCAATACAGTCCTATCAAGTGCCTGTTTCAGTGGAGGACATGGAGGAAGAAATGCCACAGATTATACCACAGATTCCTGGTTGGTACTTTTATTTTCTTCTTTCCTAGTTGAATGTGTTTTCGTTCTTCTGTTTTTATATCCATTAAGCAGAGCCAATCAAACATATAAAAAGTAGGGCTGTCAAAATTAACTCGTTAACGCACATTTTTTCAGGTTAACGCATTAAAAATATTTAACGCAATTAACGCAGCATCCGTTTTTTCCCTTCATCACTTGGTTAGCGTTACATTATATGACCATGCTCTTATTCACGTAAATGCTTTTAATCCATTCAAACGCGATAAGACACAAAAGAGAACGCAGTGCAGTACAGGCACGCGTCTGTGAATCTCCTGTCTGTGACACACACACACGACTCGTGAGCACAGACAGTGCTTGAACGGACAAAAACACACAAAATGATGCCAAAATGAAAGTTTTATCAAGTATCCTCGCAAGCACAGTCTTAAATAAGTTAAATGTAGTCTTAAATGAATGTAGAGTTGGGATTCGTGTCAGATCTACGCCATGTGTGTCAGATCTTAAAGTGACACCAGCCTAATAAACATGCCACTGTTTGTCATTAAGGATAATCAAAGAACAAAAGAAAAAGAGAAAAGCACTCACTGCTCTTGACTGAATAACTTTTTTAGCTTTAATAAGGATTTTGACAGGGCAAGTAAAAATCTGAACTGGTCTGACTTGGCCAATGAAAAAAATTGATCCCTGATACTGTATTTTGAAGGACACAGGTAAAAGTGACATTTATTGTAATGGGTTTATGTAAAGATTGTTTTAAGTTCACAAATTAAAAGTTCTTATATTTTTTATAATTAATGGCTAAAATTGAGGAAAAAAAAACATCAATTTTATAGAGACATCAGTAGCTGTTTTGGTATCGGGGATACTGGACTTCTTTCATAAAAAGATGCCATTAAACAAATATTTAAAATATAGGCTACTGTCTTTATGTTGTTTCTACATTAATTTGGAGATTAAATGTGAAATTATTACAGTATAAAAAATATATAAAACTTTAATGTTAGGTGTGATTAATCGCAATTCATTACAGAAAAATGTGCGATTGACTTGTTACATTTTTTTAACCGATTTGCAGCACTAATAAAAAGCATTGACTGTTTTCTGACTGGGTAAAAAAGGCGCACTGTTCCGTCGCCCCATCGTCGAATGGGATTTTTGGTTGAATGTCTGTGGCTGGCTAACATAAGCTAGATATTTTCACATTTTATTCTACAACATAAAATACATCAGTAACAGCTAACAGGGAACGGGTATTACCTATTTAGTTGTGATGTTATATCCAGTCCACTAGGGGGACTCAATGAGTACTGAAAGCTATAGAGATAGCGTCAGACGAGTACAGAGAATGCTTATGTAAACAAATGCAGTTGTTCCGTGTGGTTCTTCAATAAACTAATCAGAGACGACTAATGCCTCCTTGCAGATGTATTCAAGACACCCACAACTTTCACTAACGTTTTGTTAAGGTTATGTAAATGTTAGAACAAAAGTTCTTTAAAAATATTTTTATAACATTATATACATTCTAGTAATGCTGAGAGAAAACGTTACTAGTAGCCTACAACGTTCATGGGACGTCGTATTGATGTTATTTTTACTTGATGAATGTTCTCATAACATTGAGAGAAACGTTCTTTTAACAACATTCTCAGAACATCCTTATGATATTATTCATATTTGCTGAATGTTTTCATAATGTTATCATTTAACGTTTTTATTACAAATTTCATGTAATGTCCTTTCAATGTTATTTGATGAATGTTCTCATACTGTTGAGAAAACATTCTTAAAGCAGCATTCTTGTAATGTCTTTTTGCTGAATGTTTTCAGAATGTTCGCATAACATTGTTAGGACGTTTTATGAACTTTGTTCTCCCAACATTTTATTTGTACTTGATGAACGTTCTCATAATCTTTAGAGAAAACATTCTTAGAGAAAAATTCTTGGAACATCTCTATGATGTTATTAATATTTGCTGGATGTTTTCAGAATGTTAACATAAAACATTGTTAGAATAAAGTTCAAGGAACTTCTTTATGATTTTATTTGAACTTGATGAATGTTCTTGTAATGTTAAGAGAAAATGTTCTTAGAACAACAAACTTTCGTAGAATGATGATGAAATCACTAAGGTTCTGTGCGCTATATTAAAAGAACATCCTTTTTGTAGTAACACTCCCATAATAATTTACATACATAATGTAATTTGTTATGTAAATCATTCTCAAAATACATTAGAAAGATAAGTAATATATTAAAGGGCATAGGGTTGGGTTTCTTAAAGGTGCAGTAAACAGTAAACACTGTTGAAAGTGAATCCGACCGAGCACCAAAACACACTTGTAGCCAATCAGCAGTAAGGGGCGTATACACTCATGATGGAATATGGAATATTTCAAATGTGGTTTATTCAGAACTACCCCTTTAAAAGCCAAGCCACTTTTGCGCGCATGCGTGTGAAGATCGGTCGGGAAGAACGGTTGAACCTCGCCTCAGAAATCACTTGAGGTAAGTGTGTAAATTAATTGGTTACATTTTTATTTAGTAAATTATTTATTTAGTTAACTATTTTCTTTGATTATTACCAAATTAGGTTTATGTATTTTGTAGGGATGCACCGATGAGAACATTTTGGCCGATACCGATAATTCTTTATATTTGAAGGCCGGTAACCGATATATTGGCTGATAAATCTAAATACATAAATGTATATATTTTTTGAGAGCCTGATTACAAAAACAAAAGTCATGACCAATAAAAGCCATGTCCCAAGCACGCAATTCTAAAGTTCTGTTCTCATTATAATTTTACGGAGCCTATATGACAGATTTGCGCTGCATTTACATGTTGCATTTAACCGTATTTTCTTTTTTGAAGTGATTTCAATCATATTTCAAGCAATTTAAAACCATCATGGTGAATCTGAAGTGTCTCAGCTGAAGTAAATAATCCATTATTTATCTGCCTTAATATATCGGCCAAATTTTCTTATCGGGCTGATAACGATAACATTCAAAATGAACATATATCGGCCAATACCAATATGGTGGCCGATATATCATGCATACTTAGTATAGTATTTTGTTGTCTTAATGTATATTTTAATGTTTTAAAGTATACCAGGGCTGCCAACTCTCACGCAGTCGGTCTTTGTCCATCATGTGTGTTTATTATGTGCACCGGCATAACGTTATTATTATAAAAACGGCATTAAATGCAATTGTATACAAACCGGATGTTAAACTTTAAAAGTAATGACAGGGTTCCTTGTGTAGTTTACAGCATTACTTGAGAGAGATTTTTCTTCACTGATTCACATCCAAATTCTCCAATAGGGTCTGGCCGACTTTCACTTGCACTCTCAGATAATATATTAATATATAATTTAATATATATTATATAATATAATGATATTAACAATTTAACCAGTTTCTTAAGTGAGTTGCAGGCAGCGGAGATTGCAGGTGTTTAGGAGAGTGAGAGTACGTAGTATGTAGCCAGACCCTTCTCCAATGAATTGATATTGAATCTAGATCGCAATCGAATCACAAGCATATGAATTGAAATCGAATCGTGATTTCATTTGATAAGCTCGAAAATGTTTTGATTAATCTCAAAGGATGCGTTCGGTTGCATTCACCCTCTACCAAAGTGCCTCTACGTTAAATGCAACGCCCGGCATTATTGACTGTGATTGGGCTATTTGAAATAATTACGTTGATGATGATGAATTATTGATAACTTGCAGTGTTATTTTTTCAAAAGGAAATTAAAAAAATATGTAAAACTGCCCATAACTAGTAGCTGTTTGAACATTAATTTTATTAATTTTTCAATTAATCCAAATTACTTAGAGAAGATGGCTTCCTTCATGGTTGGATACATTAACCTTACCTGAGAGGAAAGTGATGTTTATACAACACGGTCTGTTGTGTAACATTTTCATGCATCACCATCACCAGTAAATATTCTGTGTAAGCCTTAAAGTAACAACAGGTAACTTTTCAACCTTCATAATATATTTCCAAGTCTCTTGTGATGGTACATCGACTTACAATAGGTTGAATGACACGTCTGCCATAGCCTGACGGGGTCTGTAGCGTTTTTAATCGTACTTTTAAACTTCGGGTTTCGGGTAGTAACCGGCGAACAAAGAGAACTACAAAATTCGACTGCTTTACGGCATATACGTCATTTCCACCACCCCTTCCTTAAAATCGGACTTGTGAGCCAAATGTTATAGTCATGGCCGAAGCAGCACAGAAAAACAAGAAAGCAAAGGTTTTATCGGAGCAAAGCAAAAAGAGAAAAAGAGAAAGTGATCGCGTTAAAGGCAGAACGAGGATCAACATTGCAGAGCTGCCAACTCTCACGCATTGGCCGTGAGACACCCGCATTTGATTGGTTCCCTTATCGAGTCGGTCTCTCGACATTACGTATGGGGAAATCCATTTTCCTCGAATCATGAAGTCTGATAGAATAACTCTTTTGCTTGCAAATAGCCAATGGCAGTCCCGCCATCACCTGATTGGCTGACACTGCTCAATATAGGTGACGACGGGCGCCAAAAACCTCAGAATCTTTTTTCTTCACTCGAGTCTGTTTCACCGTTTGATTTACGCATTCAGAGCGGAGTAAAATTAGGAGTTTTTATCCCCTCTCGCGTTCCGGTGGATTATACTATGTCTCTTTGTCGCACGTGTGGTGGACCCATCGAATTCCCGGATGCACACAAACTTTGTGTGCTGTGCCTGGGTCGGGACCACGCTGAGGCGGCACTTGAGGGATCGGGATGTCCCGCCTGTGAGGAGCTTCCCATCAAGATCCTTCGTGCAAGGCTGGCCGTTACACGTAACGACGACCTTGTGTCTCCTGCCTCTCTCCAGTCTGCCGCCGTCGAGCCGCGGACCGGGAGACAGCAGAGATTTCCATCCGCGGGTTCTGTTGAGGCGCTGACGTCGGCCCAAGGCCCACGCCATCCTCACGTGGCAGAGCC